TCTCTACCCACTCTCTGGTAGGAGGTTAAATAGCAGAACAGACTGGGCTCTTCAGTTTTGATTGGTAGCCAGTCTAGGAGAAGGACAACTTTGAATTCAAAAACTGCATGTACTTCTGGCAGAGCACATAATATATGCAGCTAATGAAAGGATCAGATTATTGATGGTGTCTTGGTTTTTGATTTGTGGATTTTGTAAACTCCAGTAGCACTTCTAACAACACAAAATTCATAATCCTACCCTATAACACTCTTTCTACAAAACTTATAAATAAATTAGTTATCCCTAATACTAGAGTCTTTACCACCATGTCCAAGATAATCAAAGAAATAATTAGGAAGAAAAATAAATCCAACACCACTTCAGATGCTGATACTTATCAAATAAATTGCTTACAATTTAAAAGAATTTGTCAGAGACCTCAGTTTTTTTATTATTTTATGTATGCACGTGTGCATACACACACACACACACACATATATATATATATATATATATATATATATATATATATATATATATATAAACCCAGGCATATAAATGTATTGGAGCTCTTTTTACTTCTCATATTTGTACATACATGTATCCCAAGACAGTCTCCTAACAGTTTTTTGCTCATTTTTTAATTTTTATTGTATTTTAATTAGGTTATTTTGGATTTTTTTAACTAAATGAAACTAGTTTAAATGCTACAAACTTTAAATTTGTCAGAAAGCATAATTACCATTATTAGCACTGACTAAAGGCTGCTGTAAAAATTGCTGGAAGAATTTAGCATTGTAGACAAAAAATGTCAACTTATAAGCCAAATCCGTATTCCTCTAAGATCTTGCTGAGCAATTGATAAAATACAGTAGGTTTCATTTATTGTAAGCTCTTAAAATGAGAAAAAATATATTAAATCTTTGTCAAGAATAAATGAAGATTTTTGCAATAGCTTATTTCAATCAATATAAAGTGCACTATTTTTCAGGATGACAGTGCAAATCCATACTCAATAAAATAAACTCAAAAAAAATCACATGTTTGAGAAGTCATAAACCTTCAAATGTTTTTTATGTCTTTTATAATTGCACTAATATAAATGTTTCTGACTCGATGTGCACAAGAATATATACACTATGTAAACTGTCATTAATTTTCCAAACTTTGTCTCACCACATCCCACCTGTGAAAGAGAGGTTGCAGGGTAGAAAATAATTCTTCTCCAACATGAACTCTGAGACACTTTTGAACTTATTTCTCACTGATTGAATACGGAGGGAATGTGGATGGTTTGCTACAATGGAAGTGACATGACAGGTCCTAGACATGAAGGTTAGACCTGGCAGAACCAATCAATAGAGTTCATCCCAGCACTTTCCATAGGAGTAGTGATAAAGTAGTGAGAGACTGACCACATCCCAGCTGTGAAAGAGAGGTTGGAGGATGGAAAATAATTCTTCTCCAACAAGAACTCTGAGACACTTTTGAACTTTACTAAGGCTGGAAAGTGAGAACTGGGCAGCTCCCACCCAAAGTATGGCAACAGTACCCTATTTTCACCATGATCTGACTTTTTTATAAAGGTAGAGGATAGCATGAGGTGTCAGGTACTTATTTGAGCTGTACAGGGAACCCGTCATTTTACTTGCATCTGTAAGAGAGGTTGGAGGGTGGAATAAAGATCCGCAATCCAAATATAAGAAAATTGATCCAATATTATATTTGCAACAGATGGTCTGTTTTTAATTAGATTTTTTAAGTAAATTATAAAAGTTTATGTAGGTAATGCTATTTGATAGTATTATGGTAAGTATGCCCATCTGTTACATGGGAGAATGTGGTGTGATTTCTTAATCAATGAAAGATATTTTGCTTATATAAAAATGTATGCACAAAGTCTTACTATCCATAGATGAACTGTCTATAATAAAACATCTCCAAGCTGGAATGAATTTTTAAAATCTGACAAATCAATAACATGGATCCTTCAGTGGTGAAAATGGCATTACATTTGTCAACACTTGAGCTAACCTTAAGCAAAACATGTCAACTGATTTTGTTCCAAACAAACCAGTTGTTGCTTAATATAAGTGATACTAAGTGATACAGTGAGACAAGTCGGATACAGAGGTATATGTATAATTATTGGATGATCAAAGTTTGATTTGAAATAAACATGCAAAGACTGATAAATTAACAAACCCCAGTCTTTACACAAGAATCTATTAAAAAAATACAGGGTGTCCATAAAGTCTCTTTACAATTTAAAATTTAATTTAACTTTAATACACCACTATATGGGCACCATTAGTTGAATGAAGCACATCAAGATGTACTCAATTTCTTGCCATGTTCGCTGTAGCAGAGCCTCATAAATGGTGGCAATGGTATCAGTGATCGTTTGCTTTAAATCAGATGTAACGTATCTTTGTCCAGAGGAGTGATATCTGGTGAACAAGATGGCCAGGGAATTGGGCCATCTCTTCCAATTCATTGGTCTGGAATTTCATCAACAGGATATCTGAAATGCACAAATGCAATGTGATTAAAAACTTTGATAACTACTGAGTATATAAAATAAATCTAATTAAGATATCTCATCAATTGCCTTTGTAATATATTTTTTTAAATTGTAAAGAGACTTTATGGACACACTGTATATTCATGCTAGCCTAGTAAGCTACCCTTCCAGTGAACTTTACAGCTAGCTCTGTGGAGGGCTTTTGGGCCTTCAGGCTTTTACTGTCAGCATCCTATGTATGTAAAAGTTACAAGAATTTAGAAATAATAAAGTTATTCAACACTTCAATTCAGCATAATCTTTCTTCATATACACTACCAATCTTTGTAATTTGTTTACATTTATTTTGTGCACAATTTTTATTTTATTTTAAAGTCACCATTCTTTATGATCCCTTCACATACAGTCACTCTTAAAAGACATTAGGAAACTCAAACTATGTAATATTTTGAATATGTCACAGTATGCATGCTAGAAAAAGAAAAAAAAATGCGGGACATACTGTGCCTCACTTAAGTTTTAATACTAGAGTTGAAAAGCGAAATTAAACTTAAAAATTTAATAAAGAATTATTTTTAAACCTTTCACTCTGTACAATATTTAAATTTAACTTTAAGTTATTTAATTTTTAATCACATGTAACTAAAGTAGTTACTTACTTGTTACTTCAGGTTGTTTATGATTCACTGAGATTGAAAAATGGATGGACAGACATACACTGTGCTTTATTTATATAGATATTTACTATTCCTGTGTGCTTTGACTCTCTCTGATGGGGACCTGGAATCTATGATGCTTACAGTGCATAAGAAACACAGCTTCATACTGCAAAAGTGAAATTTTAATCACTCTGGTGTTGTCTTTACTTCAAATGTGCCAGGAGGAAGTTGTGATATTAAAAAAAAAAACATGTTAAAAAAAAAAATGAAAAAATGTCAACAATGCTTTTAATATTGTATATTTAATTTTAGTCTCATAAAAAAAAGTGCCACATGCATATAATATTTATAATCTACACAACTTCTTTTTCTTTGTTTTTTGTTTTTACTTTTCTTTTTCCTTCTCTGTTTCTTTTTCTTTTCTCTTTCTCTGTTTCTTTCTCTTTTCACATTTCTCTCCTCTGTTTCTCTCTCTTTTTCTCTCTCTTTCTAGTTTCTCAGATTCTTTCTCTTTCTGGTTTCTCTCTCTCTCTTTCATTCTCATTCCTCTCTCTCTCGTTCTCATTTCTCTCTCACTCTCGTTCCTCTCTCATTCCTCTCTCTCGTTTTCGTACCTCTCTCTTGTACCTCTCTCTCGTTCCTCTCTCATTCTAGTTTCTCTTTTTCTCTCTCTTTCTCTTTCTCATTCTCTCTCGTCCTTGTTTTCCTCTCTCTCGTCCTTGTTTTCCTCTCTCTCTCTCTCTCTCTCGTTTCTTTGTCTTGTTTCTCTCTCCCTCTCTCTCTCGTTTCTTTCTTTTATTTTTCTATTCCTGTTTCTTTTTCATTCCATTTCTTTTCTTTCTCTCACTTTCATTTGTTTCTTTTCTCTCTTGTTACTCTCTTTTCCTCTCTCTCTCTTTTTTTTTAATGAACCCTTTTTTCTTTTTCTTTTTTTTCTCTTTTTTTTTTTTTTTTTTTTTTGCTCCTCATAAAAATAACTTACTTTTTACTATTTAATACTCCTAATTTAAATAAGAACATTTTTTTAAACTTAGAATCATTTATGTAATTAAAGAAAATATTAGTGCATGATGTATAAGGAACATCTAATACTTAAACAAATGTGGAAAATTCTTTTTTTTTTTTTTTAAATTTCCAATGTATGATTGTAGATTGATCCCAAAAATGAAGTAATCACCTTAATTTTTATAAATCATTTCACTAGTTTAAATTTGGTTAACTCTAGCCCTACAACAGTTTCTTAATGTCAGGCCAGAATGTTGATACTTAGATTATCAAATACAAATAAACTTGGAATTTTGACTAAAAATGAAAAGCTTACAAATTTTGTGTATTATAGAGTAAGCATTGAATAATATAAACAATGTTAGGTTGTTGAGTTCTTCAAAATAGGTTACTGTGATGGGCAGGATGTCATATTCAAAATAAATAATATATTCGGTGTATCCTTTCGTGGGACAGTGGTCAGTAAAATTTGGTGCCTAAAACTCTTGCCGCTATGCATGACTTTCTTAAGTTTGGTAAATATCAGTCATTTACAGTTTTTCTTTTTAGTTTTTTTTTTAATTTTATTTTTTTAGTTTTTTTTTTTTTTTTAATTTTAGTTTTTTAGTTTTTTTTAATTTTAGTTTTTTTTAGTTTTTTTTAGTTTTTTATTTTTTATTTTATTTTTTATTTTTTATTTTATTTTTTTTTTTATTTTTTTATTTTATTTTTTTATTTTTTGTTATTTTAGTTTTTTATTTTTTTTTTAAATTATCTTCAATGAAAGATTTTTCAATTGTCAATATTAAAGGTGGCATAATTATAATATAATATTTTTCTTCTCTTTATAGACATAGCACGCTGGAAGAGATATCCAGAAGTGATTCTGAAAATGCGGCGTCATCCTGTGACCTTACTAAAATACTTGATTGTAGGCTTTGTCTGTGTCGTGATGGGACCTTTTGCCATCCGACTTCTGTTTGGTAGCGTTGACAACACAAAATCAGAAACGGTACACGCAGACAACTCCTTTCTCAGGAGAGAAGTAGAAAAGATTTAATCAACAAAGGAGTGAGTTACACGTTTTTAGTTGTGTGTTTATAGTTAAATTGACTCTTATGATTTGTAAAAAAAAAAAAAAATTTCTTGCCTGATTTTAACATTAAGTATAATCTGACTGCATAAATGCTTATGTGGTATACATATACACACACACACACACATATATATATATATATATATATATATATATATATATATATAATTGTGTATTTGGGTAGCAATCCCTCTTTTATACAAGTTTCATTCATTGAAAATGAATGATTGATTGGTTAAGTTCTTTTTAATTCATTTTTCTTGTGTTCTTATAATTTTCTTTTCTGGAGGTAAATTATGTAGAAATTGTCCAAAGGTTTTCTATGTCCAAGTGCTTTCAGTTATACTTTTAGCTATTATCAAGGATGAATTTCATTTTTACTTTTAACTGAATCTAGGAATTGTTTTATGTATGTATCTAGAGTTACAGGAATGATTTATTTTTCCAAACATGGCCAGTACATTATGGCTGTGTTTATAGTTGTTATTATTGAGTGCTGGTTATTTATTTCTTATTAATAATGCTTCCATTATTTTTAGCCTTTTTTTTTTTTTTTTTTTTTTTTTACATGTGGATGAATGAAGCTATTATATTTTATATTATATATGAACATGGCCACAATGTGCTGACTGAAAATAAATCCTCCTTATAACTTTAGATACATACATAAAACAATCCATACATTCAGTTAAAAGTAAAAATAAAATCAACCTCAATAATGGCTAAAAGTATAGCCAAAAGTGCTCTGATATACATAATATTTGGACAATTTCTACATAATTTAGGTCCAGAAAGGAAGAAAATTATAAGGACACAAGAAAATTAAATAAAAATTTAATGACAGTACATTGTCATGAATTTTTAATTAAATGTGTGATTATGAACAAATACAAAAGGAAAACTTTTCTTTATCAACATAATTTGACTCATGGACTTTATCAAGGGATTATTTTCTAAAATGTATTTATAGAAAGAAGTAAAAATATCAAATACTGAAAAATATTCTTAAGGCAGAGTATGGAAGGTAATGTTATGTTTATAAATACATGTTGCAAAATAAAATCATTACATTTGCCTTGATAAAGTCTATCAGAGGATGAAACATGTTGGTAAAGAAAAGTTTTCCTTTTGTCTTTATTCATATTGACTTTTTACAGATGTTTTATTTGTCAGAATTTTTACACACACATTAATTCTATTATCAATCTATCTCTATCTCCGATATTGAGCACTCTACTACAAAGCCTGCTTGCCTTAATTGCCTTTCTATCAACAAACTACTAAAAAATCCATAAGTCTCTCAAACTAACACATGCACACACACACACACACACACACACATGTGGATGTGATGGATAAATTGTCATATAAATTACACTAAAATATCTCAAAATACTAAAGAGTAAATTTATTCAATAAAATTACCATTGCCTTCATCCATGGACTCCAGACAACTTCATAATCTCCTACAACTCTTCTAGACAGTCTCCTTGATTAAGTTGGTGAATGCTGCCATAATCCTTTCCTTCAATTCATCTTTGGCATTACAAGGAGTTTTGTTGATGTCTTGCTCAACTACACCCCATACATAATAATCAAGGGAGTTACAGTCTGGGGAGTTAGGTAGCCAGATGTAAGTGGGTGATGTGGTCACAGAAATTGTCTGATGGCCATGACTGGGTTCCCCTGCTTGTGTGGCATGTTGTCAGACATAGGTTCTTCCAGTAGCCACCCTCTTCACCTAGAACAACACTACCTCCTCAATGCATTTGATGTAGGCATCTGTGTTAACTTGGGGCCCTATGGGAAGATGAATGGAGGCATAGTTACCATCACTAGTGATCACTCCAAACACCATGATGTTAACTGAATATTTGCTTTTCATCACTCTCAGCATATCATTTGGGGACACAGCATCCTCTACACTGTCCTCACATAGACACCTAACGACTCTGAAATGTTCATATTGGAGCTTCTTGCATGAATACCAAGCCATACAGCATGCTGTTTCCAAACTGCTGGTAGAGTGAATATCATCATGGTGATCCTTTTCTTGCAGACAGTGCCCAACTGACTCTACTAGATTGTGCAATTGGCAAAATCAAAAACAAACAGGCTTGCATGAAATTTAAGATATAAAGTGGTGACAATTTATGCATTGCACCCTGTACATTCACCATTTTATATATATATATATATATATATATATATATATATATATATATATATATATATATATATATATATATATATATAAATGAAGGGTTGCTGCAAAGTTCTTGGCTTGAACAAGTTCTCCCAAAATTTGTGGGTATGGTCAGATTTGGGGAAGTAGTTTAGATTAAAAACTTTTTAGTAAGTAATCATACACCTGTGTGTAAGGACATACAACTAAGTATATCAAAGGATTGAGTTTCCTGTTTCTTGTTCTCTACCGACACAATGTTAACATAGAGATCTTTTGCATAAAAGAGATCTTACGTATAAATATTAACTGAAGAAAAATAATCAACCATTTTGTGTTTATTCTATAATGGGCATTCATGGATTTTAAAATACAATATTATGAATACTAGTTTACACCAATCACTGTTTAATTATCACCAGCACAAAGAATGACAGACTAATGAAGTAATTTTACATTGTACTTGTAAAATATTAAACTTTTACTCTGCATTTTCTTTATCATCAATAATTTCTGAATATTAAAATTCAATGGAGATATCAATTAATCCCATATCTTGTCCTTATGCTATAAATTTAAATAATTATAAAAAATGAAACTAGGTTTTAATATATACATATATTATGAATTATTTTATTGTATAAGTTTACTTATCCACAGAGGTAATTGCAGTTTAATCTTTCTAATATAATTATGGTATTTTTATGTGCTTGCAGTTACTAGAAATCACACTGAATTCTTCTTATGACACAAAAGTTACACACATTGAGTGCATGTAGATAATCTTTTAAATTTGTTATTTGGATGTACGTCAATTTTTTAATAGCTATTTAATATTATTGTTAAACTATTATTACTGTTATTTAAATAATATTAAATAATTATCTAATATTATTCAATATTTTTACTGTTAACTATTATTACTGTTAACTCCTTGTAAAAGTTTGTGCCCAATTTGAAAATTATGAACAAAATTTTCCATACTGATAAAAATATTTTATTAGTTAAGTACATAGTCTCCTTTGTTTTTAACAAATGTCTCTCATTGTTCTACAAGATTGTTGATGCCATTTTCATAGAAACTTTGTTTTTTGTTGGAAGAAGGTTGCAAGTTAGTTTTAAGAGTCAAATCTTTTGTCATTTATTCTCTAGAGGCTTGAACAAATGAGAATCAGGAGATAAATCAGGAGAATACAAAGGGTTTCTCCTTTCAACTCTTTAAGATGTTTTGTAACATGTGGTCTCATGCTTTCATGATGAAAATTGATACCTTTTTCGATTTATCAAAATCAGCCTTTCTTCTTAAATAGCAGCATTAAGATTGGTAGGTTGGTTGCAGTACTTACAGTTATTATTTCACTGACTGAAGAAAGCTCAAAATGAATTATCCCTCTGCAATCCTACCAAACATTCAGCTACACTGAATACAGACCTATTTTAGCCATGGATTCTGCATATCCATGAGCTTGTTTCCAGCTCCATTGGCATTGAATGATTATAAATAATCCATTTTTTCATTGTGAAGATTCTGTTCCAGAACAGCACCTTTTTGTGGTGTAACAACAAAGAAATCACCACAGAAATATGATTGAGCTTGTTCTGTTCTGTCAGAGAATATGGCACTTGTTTGGAAACAACTTTCTTCAAATGCTGAAAGGCAGTTGAGATATCAATTTTCAAACTCTTAGCAATCTCTTCCATCAAAAAATCTAGGTTTATTCTCCACAATGGAAAGCTGAGCATCTTCATAGATGTCAGGATATTGCCCGTGGTATGGTTGATCTTTTTGGCTAAAATCACCCTGACAAAATCTTCCAAATCACTTTTTCATTATCTGAAGAGCCAGAGCGCAATACAAGCCTGAATGTTTTTTCTTGCAGTTCCGACACTTGCTCCTCTTCAAAATTCATAGAGCTTGATATGATGAAAGTGCAATTTTTCATCCTCCATCTTTGAGGTGTTTTTTTGTGGACAAAATGTCAACATTCAAAGTCTGACTCAAGTGAACAATGCAAAGTTTCAATCTAGAATACACCAAAAATCAACATCCAAACAAACACTAGTGTCAAGTTGATCTTTTGCAATGATCTAATATTTAAAATTATTTAAATAATTATTTAATATTATTTAAATACTATTATTACTGTCAACTATTTAATATTATTTAAATAAGTATTTAATATTATTTTTTAATAAATGTTAATACTGTATTCTGTTTTAGAATGTGGCAGTTGTTTTAGGCAAGAAAGAAAAGTATGACTGGCATAACTATAAACTGATTGAAGAAGACATTGCCCGAAAAGGTTAGCTTTTATTTTATTCATTTAATATGCATGGTTTTTAGTATTTGCAATACTGAACCGTTTATGAATTTGGGTTCTTGTTTTTTTTTTGGGGGGGGGTTAATGTTATGGCCATGTAAGCTATTAATTTCATTGTATGATTTAGCGTTACAAATTCAGCAAAAAAAATTTAAGAAGCTGAAAGATTTACTCAAGGTTTATATTATCGTTGATTTTTAAGCATATTAGCATTATGGTTTTTACAAGAATAACCACAAATATTACTCCAACTTTGAAGGAAACTATAATATATGAAACAAGCCATTCTTGTTCCATCATCCTGTTCCAAGAACAGTTGATGTTTTTGCTTAATATCCATATTCAACCAGAATAGATATCCAAATATAAAACTATTTTCCAATTTCACAAGTGGTGATTCAATGCAAAAACAAGATTAAGATCATATGCAATCCCTTGGTATGGTAACCTCAAGGTAGTGTAATGGTTAGCAAGCTTGTCTTACTAGAACAATTAAGACTGAGTAGTGAGTTTGATCCTCACTAGGTTCCCCTACTTCCGATCTTGTGCCACATCTAAGCTGCACTTGGAAAAACATCACTTTCATCCCACTTTCTCTTTCCAGTAAGAATAAAACTTTTAACAAGATTTTCTCGTTTTTTTATGCCAATGACTGGAAAATGCTCCAATTGATACATTAAAATCTGTGAATTGTTTTGAAATCTTACAATTAATACCTTCTCACTTGTTTTTTTTTTTTTTTTTTACTACTAGGATAGTTTGGATAAGACTTAAAATAACTGATGCTGAACTTACATCTTTAACCTTAAAATTTGATTAATTTATTCTTTTGAACTGTATCCCATTCTTTCTGAATTCTTTGATGTCTGGAATCAGCTTTGACTTTAAATAGTCAAATGAATGAGAGTCAGATAATTTTTGGCAACTTAGACAATAGACAAAAGTTTTTTTGTTTTTGTTTTTTTTTGCACAAATGTTCGTAAAGAACCCAAAATTTTCATAGTCAGCTTCTTCACTATAAACGTTTGATGTTAATAAACTAAGACTTGGAGGAATAGAAATAGATTATTAAATGAAAGGTAAGGTAAACGGAATTTTTAATTCTGTGTTAAAATTAAACATTTATTAAAAATTTTCACTTTTCCTTTGATTTTTTTTTTTTTTTTTTTTTTTTTTTTTTTCATTCACAATAATCTCTCCTCTCCCCCACATTTTTCCCTTGTCCCCTTCCAATCAAATTTCACTCTCCTCAAATTATGCATTTAATCTACTCCATGAAGGTGGGTGAAAGGAGGGATAACTAACAGTTTTTAACAGAAACCTATCCTTTCTAAATTTTAATATTGATCAGAAAATATAATTAACTGCCATTTTGCACATCAAATATTGTGATATGATTAGACCTTCTCCATTTACATTCATATTTCAATTTTATAGACATAGGTGAAATATTAACATTGGTCATCTACTGAATTTTTAGCCTTGGTCCATATCTACATGTATACGTTCCACACATTAAGAATGATCTTATGTCATATCCCACCACCTTGGGGTGGCAACTAAAAGTAGTCTACTGTATCTGGGTAAATATTGGCCTGTCAGTTCAATTTCCCTGATATGTTAATTTATTTTTTGTTCTAACTTGCATAAAATTTGTCAAAGTATTGGTACTGTCTTTAAAAATGGATGATTAATATTTAAGAAATTCAATTCACTTTTATGTGTACATGGCTAATTTGCGATTATTGACTAACATATTTGGACTCTGCTCTCTTTGACAATAAATTAGTTGTTTCTGTCTCTAACCTCCAATATGTTCTGTATTTAAATTTAATTGCATAGATAGGTTTTGTTTTTTGTTTTTTTATATAGGCTTCTTTTGTTATATTTTCAGTATTCAACTTTATTTTAATTGTTAAATTTTAAAACAGATTAAAATGAAGTCAATGTGTTTGTAATGTTGGAAAATTGAAAATGTACACATTAGAAATCCAGTATGAATATAGAATGCTTATAAACATATAACAATATTCCATTTTTTTTACCCATTAAGTATTTCTTGCTAGGTGGATATGTTTTTTTTGAGAAAGTGTTAAGAAATTCCTCAGTTTAGAATTACCTTGTTATATAAATGGTAGTATTTTATTACAAAAACAGAATGATTTTTTTATATTAGGTTGAAACAGAATAAGTCTGTTTTCAAGCCAGGTTCAACATTATTGATCAAAGTAAACAGCATTAGAATCAAGATAATGTTACCAATGATTTTGAAGTTCAGTTATTTAATCAAAAACTGAATCAACAAATTATAAGAAATCATTTTTGATTTAGTCTGGATTGGAGTAAACTTGCTTGTGTGTATAGATATCGAAGTTCTACAAATGTGATGGTGGGACAGTATTTCAGTGTCTAAATGCATCTGTTTTTGCTACATGTTTTGAAAAGCATGAGATCTTGATATCCTGAAGCAAGATAGATCTTTCTATTCACTACTGCCAACTAAAATGCCATGAAACTATTTGTAGAAAAAACAGAAGGAACTCATGTCTTGTCAGTGAGCAAGTAGAGATGTCAGGCCACGAATGATTACATGACAAACCCTTTGTATTTTGTCAAAAATCCTGATATAGTAGAGGCACTAAACATGATATAACAGTATTCGATGCATAAACAAATGGTAGACTTATAAATGTGCAAGAAGGATTCTGACAAGAAGATTTCTGGAACAACAGTGAACCAACTTTCCTAGCAATAGACCTAGCAATTGATTCAATATAATCACTCCACTCTGTCAGTGGAAAACATGGTCTCAAGAAGGTGCAAAGTGTTACTTTTATGGAGTTTAGCATCAGCAATGCTGATGGCAGACAAAAGGTTTCCTGTGGTGATTTAAATGAAAGCAGTTTTGTTTTGAAACATTAAAACTTACATGTCATTCCTTGCCCTAGTTAAATACTGATTGGAGGTTTTTAAGAGCGGTTTTTACTTTGTTGGATCTGTCGGACTTGCTACGAAGACAGAAGTAAATAGTTGCTATCTGCATAAATAGCTAACTGGGAACTGATGACATTGGAAAGGTCACTGATGAAGACCAGAAACAGCATAGGTTCAAGGATAGAGCCCTGGAGGACCACAGCATTAACATAAAATGAACTAGAAGCATGTCTGTTCAATATGATTGCCATTATGATAGCTTAACCAAATTGCAAGAGGTTCTAATGAACCAGAGAACCAGTAAAAGACTTGAGAGATTCTTCTGGGTTGTAGATTTGATTTTAGGATAGTTACACTTTCAATCATCTTGCAGAAACCACTTCTTATCGGTAGTAAATACAGTATCAAGAAAAAGTAACTTTTACTTTTTAAATGAAAAAGCAAATTGTCACAAATGTCAAACTGTGTCATCTGCTGATCATTAATCAAATAATAGTCTACTAACCTTTTTATTTTCTTCACTTTACTGATTTATGCCAGATATCTTCCAATTTCCAGTTTTGTTGCCAATTTGTTTTTGGAGATGATTTCAAATTCTAGTTGAATTTTGTTATATTCACTTTCATATAAATATCCTTAGGAAAGATATAAATCCATTTCTTCTCCTTCCAGCTATGGATTGAATAATAGGGCATAGTGGGCTCTTCATCCTTGGTTGGTAACCAGTCTAGGTGAAGAGCAACTCTGAATTCAAAACCGTAGATAGCTGCAGCAAAAGATACTATGCAACTAACAAAAAGATCATAGAATTTACAATAACTCATGATCATAGAATTTACAATAACTATGACCCCATTCAATCAGTCACTCACTTTAGTCAGATTGGAAGTTGGTTTTGGAGTTTTTAGTCTTTGTTGTAGTTTGTTTTTTTTTTTTTTTCTTTTTGTTTTTTTTTTTATTCTTGTCACTTTAATTCCATTTTTTTTTTTTTTTTTAATCAACTTTTCTGATTAAAATTCCTTTTCTTCAAAAGATGTTTGCTTTATCTTTTTAAAATCTAACTTCAGGACCTGGAGAACAAGGGGCAGCTGTAATTCTTACTCCCGAAGAAGAAAAACAAAAAGATGTTTTATATAAGACCAATGGTTTTAATGCCTTTGTCAGTGACAAAATATCATTACAAAGATCTCTCAAAGATATACGGCACCCAGAGTAAGTATTATTCTATACTTTTATGACTTTGTTACACACAGAACACTTTTCAAATTTTGATCTACCGTATATACCCGTGTATAAGCTGACTTCATGTATAACACAACCCCTGATTTTTTTTGCCTGAATTTAAACCTCTCCAGAAAAATGTACCTGTGTATAATGCAACCAGTCACTGAAAATGCATGATTTTTAACTTCTTCAATAAAATTATCTATGTATAGAGCAACCCCCTATGTTTTCCATAAAAAATGATCATAAAAATATTCACTTATATTCAAGTGTAAACGGTACTTCAATATACTGATGTATTGATGCCATCTAATTTTGTGATGTGTCTACATTCCTGTTGGTTTTAACTATTAAACTTTTTTGATCCTTGTGTTTTTGATAATCCACTCTATCACATTTTTATGCACACAATCCATATGAAAAGTTTACTGCCTCTTTTCTTGGTAGTGCAAATCAGAATAGACCACCATCTTTCAATATTGATTGTATATCTGAAACCTTGTAACAACTAAAAGAAATATAAGAAATTCATTGGTCCAAACAACTCTTGAAATCTTAATAAATATGTTGTCTGTTTCTGTTGAACTTTTTCTCTACTATTAAGGGTCAGGAATTCAAATCTGTTATCTTTTATTTCTGATCCTGCAATCTATTCAAATTACTGTAAACTGACATCCTGATTTGAAATTTCTGAAAAATGAAGATAAAAATTAATAATAATGGTGATAATGCTTCATTTAATAAAAATAATGTATTGATGCAATGCTACACACACACACACACACACACCTATTCTAAAATTCATTGTTTTATTATATCCAAAGTTGATTGGGATATGAATCTCTTATCAAATTCTAATTGAAAAGACAACAAATATGATATAGAATTTTGAAGGCACATAGGAATAGTCAGATATTTGTCAGAATCTGAGTATGGTAGCAAAGGGTACTATGTGTGTGGAAACTGAGTGAGGCACCTGAAGTTGCAAGGTGAGTGAGGCAGCCAAGGGTGCAAGGCAAGTGAGGTAGCTAGGGTACTGCAAGTGTGTAAAGTAGGAAAGAGTTTGAAAAATAAAATTATAGAACTGTAACTCACCTATGTGGCTACACAACTGGGCCATTTTGTCATAAAGAGAAATCTTAGATGGTTAATTATTGATGTGGTTATAGTGAGTAAGAGCATTCCAAAATAATTCCTTAATTTTTCTGCATTGTAAGGTTTCATGGCTTGGCAAGAATTTTTCCCATCTGTTACAGATTGCAGACTCTCAGATAGCTCAAGTGGCATATCTTTCCATAACTGCAGGAGAGAATTTGGCATTGCAGAGCTTTGTATTCTACTGTTCCTTTTTGCAACTTACTTTGGCAAAGAAAGTTGCTTGATAAATCCTGTGTATCTCCTTCAGTTATCCCTGTTTCCCACTATTTATCCTTTTTGTTTTTTAAATTGTCTCAACCAAAGACACAAAGGGTGTGAAAGAAAATTAGAAGAATTTAGAAGGAACCAGAAACCTACTCCTAAAAAGGAAGCCATGAATAAACCTCTACTCTTGTTCAAAAGATAGTGAGGAGTGTGAACCAGGCATGTTAAACAATGCAGAAACAGCTCAAATGTTATTTTCTAAATGCAGTGATAATTTTAATAAATGCATTGAGACAATTTTATGTGTGACTTGAACATGTTTTATTTTTGTTTGTTTTTGAGCCATAGAACTACAATGACTGAGCATCCATTCTAATACACATTTTTTTAAATAGTTAAATGTTAAAGATGAAGTATCAATGAAAATGATGAAAGATTTTTTTTCTGAGAAAAAACTCACTACGATTTCAAATTTGTTTCCTGTCATAGAAATTGACCAAAAACATTGATCAGTTATGACTAAACTGTATGCAGATTGACCATGTTAATCTTTGAAAATGTTTTTTCACTAAAATATATTGGAATATGTTGAACCATTGGCTGAAATTAACTTTTGCATAAATGATCTTAAAGTAGAATATCTTTCATGTGAGTGACATTTATGAAAATCAATTAACTTTACTTTTTTGTATTTCTCTCAACATGTCATTAGAATTCAGGTCATAAGCAAGTCATTGAATATTTTATACATAATAATAATAATCACAAGAAAAAAATCATTATTTCTAAATAATATCATATTCTACAATCATCATAACATAGCTTCTCTGTGATTTAATAACAAATTTATGGTCTTCATTCTTTTTAGTACAAAGCTAATTCAAAATGGTTGCTGAAAATGCATAAATTTTAACCTCTTCTAAAAATGACTTGTGTATAGTGCAACCGGACACCAAAAATGCATGATTTTTAACCTCTTCAAAACATTACCTATGTACAGTGCAACACCCTTTTTTTTTCTTTTTTTTGTATAAAAAACTGATCATAAAATCTTGCACCATAGTATATACAGTCTTTGTCTCCTCAGAATGCAAAAATTCATGGCTATCCATAATTTCCTGACCTTCTTTTTTTTTTTTTTACTAATGTTCACCCAATACAAGTCCCAAGAGCCACTCAAGGTAGATGGTTATTGTGTGGAGTTGTACAAGCAAAAAAAATGGACATGCATTAGTATTAGAATTAATGTTAGAAAAAGGATATAGATTAATGCCTTGCTTCAGATTCAGCACGGAATTACACTTTTACTTTTTTTGCATTTCTCTCAACATGTCATTAGAATTCACATGAAAAAAAATCATTATTTCCAAATAATAGCATATTCTACATGCATCATAACATAGTTTCTCTGTGATGTTTCAATAAATATTTTCACAGTAATTGTTCTGATGAACTTTCCTCTTTGGTACCTAAACTTTATGAATTTAAGCATAGTACTAGATTGGTAGTTAGGTCTCATCATTTTATAGTTTAAATGGCTAGATGTAACCATAAGTTATATGCTAACAATTTCTTCTCTCACACTTCTTGCTTTCCAGTCAATTCTTCCCTGGTCTTTTTAACAGGAGTAGAGGTTTATCTTCCATCTCTTGTTTAGGATTGGGTTTCTGGTTCCTTCTAAAGTCTACTTCAACTCTACACTTCTAACATCTCTTCTTAAACTCTGACATTTTATTTACTATTTTTTTTATCAATAGGAGTAGATAGGTTTGTTTATCATTCAGTTCACACTCCTCCCCTGTCTTTTGAATAGGAGTAGAGGTTTATCTCTTGTTTTTCTGTTTAGGAATTGGTTTCCAATTCCATTTTTATATGTATTTCTTTGTTTACTCATTTGTAAGTTTTCTCTGTAGTTTTGTTTTTATCATTTCACTCAAAGCAATTTAATAGGAGTAGATAGGTTTGTTTATCATTCATTTCACACTCCTCCCCTGTCTTTTGAATAGGAGTAGAGGTTTGTCTTTCCTTTCATGATAAAGATTTGGTTTCTGGTTCCTTCTAAAGTCTACTTCAACTCTACACTTCATTTCTACGTAAACTCTAACATTTTATTTCCCACCCTTTTTTTTCTCAATAAGAGTAGGTTTTGTCTATCAATCACTTCACACTCCTCCCTGGTCTTTTAAACAGGAGTAGAGGTTTATCGCTTTTTTTTCTGTTTAGGATTGGGTTTTCAGTTTCTTAAAAGTCTTTTCCTTCTCTTTCACTTTCTGTAGCTCCTTGTGTCTTAGTGGCATTATTGCCTTAGCTGGGGTGGATTGATTGAAAGATAGAAAAAAACATTGATCTTCAAAAATTTAAATGCAATATCAATCATTGTCTTTTGTATTTTTTTTTTAATTCCTGTTCTTCTATTGTTCTCTCTCATTAATGATTTTTTTTATATTCTCTCACACTCAGTAATCACTTGTGTTTTAGTGGTTTTATTGCTTTGCTTGGGGTGAAATGATTAAAAAAAAATTGGTTTGCAAATTGGATGAAATATCACACTGAACTAGATTTGGGCTGTATTTTGCCAATACCTACCTGACTTAGTAGATTGTCAAGTTGCAATGTTAGGTCCATGATGAAATTTATTGGGCCAATGGGGGTTACTACATTTACATTCAATACATATTAGTTTGTGCTGTAATGAGCAGCAAGGAGTAAAATCCCTAGTGGCATTAAGAAGGATTGGTTCAGGCTTTTAGAACAAACTAATTTGAAATTTAAGCATGATTTCCAATGCCACTTTCTATCCCTGTTAATAATTACACTAATTTTACACCTTCTCTGAAATAATCTGTTTCATATTGATGAAAACTATTCATGTAGGTAAATGTATAATTCTTTTTATTGTGCAGGTATGTATAAATAATTTCTTATTAGAGTTTACTGAATGTTTTTTTTTTTTTACTTACTAAACTAGTTAATTATATTCTTGAAAAGTCATGAATCTATTTCTCCCTCAAACTGTGAGTAATATAACAGATCAGATTAGGCTCTCCAGCTGTGGTTGGTATACAAATAAAACAACTCTGAATTCAAAACCAGCCATGGATAAAAATCAAAAATGCAAGTGGAAAAATAAATTAAGATTTCAGAATTACACAACAGGAGTCTCTTGCCAACGTGCAGGCCAAGCATAACAAATATTGCACAACCTCTAAAACTTCAAAAGCACAACATCATTGGCATGTGAGACAAGACATGAGATGGTCATTCTCTTTTGGGAATGAGAAATGACTGATTATAAAACTAATGAATATTTTCTGCTTTTGATTTTGTAACACACACTTGATAATTCATACATTATGACAAGTTTACAAAGGACAAAAAAAGATAGTAGTTAATCTTGTAGGAAACTAACTACTGTGGAATAATGTCATGCATATTATAATAAAAGTGTAACTCCATTTAAGATGAAAAAAATACTGTATATGTTTCTTCCGTCTATGGACAACTGGCTTTAATAGACAACCCCTACCCATCTATCAGTCTGTTGATGAGAGGTTTGTCTGTACAGTCTTTATGTGGTATGTCCCCTCAGAATGAAGATGATCATGGCTCTCCATAATTTCCTGTCT